GTTGCATGGAGGTGCCTAATGTCCATGCAAACACAGAGGACAGGCGTATTATATGGCAAGCATAGAGGTAGGCATGCCTCTGCTTTTTGCATCTGCAAACCGCGTCAGAATGAAAGCACAGGCCCACAGATCTCCTCCATCCATCTCTCTTGCTGAATGCTGCAAGACGCGAGTTTTAAAGAAGGCAAGTCTGGTTCTCCTCAGGGAGGAAATGAAGTGTCAAGAAGCTCTCCGTGGTGACATGCTAACACCTGGGCTCAGCTTCAAGTGCTGGAAACGGAGCAAAGATGAACTGTCCTCATTATTCCTTTAATTTACAGCAAGAGTTGTGCTCTGCAGTTAGATGTGATGTCAGACGTAAAGCGCCCGTGAGCCCATATTTCAAAACGCCTGGCTTCTGTGTGCGCTTTCCAAACATTTAGTGAGCAAACGGAATCGTGTGTGGCTTTCATCCGTACGTGTTTTGTTTTGTTTGTGCAATGCAGCTCGAATGTTCTCAAGGGTTTTGGAATTCAACACAGGGACACCTATATGTGACCGAGCAAGTTTTGCTCAGGCTGCTTGTCTGTCAGTGACGTGCAACTTTCATTTTTAGGGAATGAAGTTATTTCCTAATAATGCTTCATGAGAAGGGCTGAGTTCGGAGAACTGTTGAAAAGAAAGAGCTCCTTTCAGAAATCCTATCCCGATTTCCACCCTCCTCTTCTTCCTGTTTGGGAAGCGCCCCTTTTCTATCGAACTTCAAACCCTGATTCCAAGAGGTCGAGGGAACCCTGTAGATCAATGAAGAGGGCAGAAGGGTGAGGAACATGAGGAAAGTTCAGGACTTTCGACAAAGAACATAGCAACTGCCCGATTTTTCTTTTAGATTTTGTGTATTTTATCCTGAAAGGTTGATTCGGCATCCAGCTAATTTACGCACACTGTTTTAGGCGACTACACCTCCCACGAGAGTGCAACTCTCTCTTCAGGGTTTTCCATCCATAGAAACATCTCCAGGCAACCTTAAGAAGCCCGCGACACTAAAACCGCACCCTCTCTTTGCTCGCAGTAACAAAACACCCTCCGATTTGTCTGCATTTAAATAGACAATCCCTAATTTGAGATTCAAATCATTTTCAACTTCCCTGACATGCGAGACATTTGAAAGCATTTTATATTGACGAGAACAATTGTCAAATGGCTTCCTTTCAGAGAATAATGCTGTGACACGGGGAGCTCACTGGCAGCCTGTTATCGTCAAATCAAACATGACAAGTTTGAGGCAGAGGCATCATACAGAAATAACCCTTTTCCTGCCTCCCGTTTGGCTCCGGCAAGACGACGACTCTTTTAAAAAAAACAAGGGGCCAAAGGGCCACGTTGCCGGCCCCGATGTGAGGCCGTCATTTCACAAGGGCCTCTGTGGATTCGGTCTTATCATCGTGTTTGGTATGCTTTTCAACTTGGAAATACCCTCAGAGAGGCGGTTTGGAGAGGCAAACAATGAGAGAGTTCATAGTAAAGCAAATGAATTGAAGAGGGTGATGGTTATTTACAGAACTACTCTTCCTCAAGCCAGACAGTTGGACCCAGAGGAGTCGTTGTTATCTTAGAGGAGCAGGGTGTTGTTTGCACGGTGATTCTGGCACACGCTTCTCTTAAGAGCTCTCCAAAAGGTTTCTCTCACTTGATTTTGAAGGATGGAGAAGTGGTCCACTCATCCTGCCATCAGCACCCGCAACCCTCCTCCCCCTCCTCCTCTTCTTCTTCTTCTTCCTCCAACAACTCCTCTTCACCCTGCCCCCATCCCTGCCCCTCTGCCCCTGACCACTGCCCTGCTCACCCCTGCGCTCAGGAACAATGGTTCACTCTGAAAGAAAAGCAGGAAGAAAGAGGATCCCAGTGTCACAGAATTGCCTGTTTGGCGACGGAATCTCTAAAAGCAGCACCTCATAAATCAAAAAAGAACATAATGGTCATTGTTTCGCCAAGAGCTACTTGTTCCTCCGAAATCCCCCCCCCCCCCCCCACCTCTTTTTTTTTTTTTTTTTTTTTTTTTTGGCAGAAAGAGTAAGCAAAGTCAGAGGTTGGGATTTTTTATTAGTGGGGGTCCTTTTCTTGTCGATTTGGCGCTTTTAGGAGTTTCCTTACCACTTTTCTTTCTCTCTTGCTGTCAGACCATCCCCTTGCTTTGTGCTCCTTCAACCCCCACACCCCCCCCCCCCCAACCAGATGTTTTTTTTTTTTTTTTTTTTCTCCCCAAAAAAAAAGGCATTCCCTGAGCTTGGATCAGCATAATCTGTCACTTTGCACATTGTAACTCAGGCCTCCTCCCTATCTCCACGCTGCATTGTCGCGTTGAAATCGGATTAAATGGGAAGCCATTTGCCTTCTCTGGTTAGTCGTGGACTCTTTTTGTATGTTGGCACAGGGAATGGCGAAAAGCTTGAAACCGATATCGCCATTGTGCATCAAGAGAACGACAAACAGTCAGGCATGTTTGGGTCGCACTCCTTGATGTGCTGCATAAACAGTTTGAGTCTCGGTCCTGCAGCTTTTTAAAAGCATTTTATTTATTTATTTATTTTTTTTTATCTGCAAAAATGGGGTGTGCTCCTTCATAAAAAACATGAACCGGATCTGTTTTGATTACAATGGGCTACTAATGAGCCTCTGCATTTGATTTATTCACCCCTCTGATGTGTCAGCAATCAAGATGATGTTATCATAATTAGATCACTGGCGCTGCATTGGGATTACACAAATCTGCCAACACCATTTCCATAAAGCATTTTAATGGCTACCTAGCAATACCTTTGACCCCCCCTCTCCCCTCTCAACACAGAATCTTTTTCATTGAGATTGTTGCATGCTAATCTTTGCTTTGACAAATAGCTAATGCTGTATGAATTAGCCATTAGCTAGCTGGACATGAACTAAATTTAAGCGTTTTCATGTGTATTTTGGAGCAGCGGCCCAGGCTCTGGGGACAGATTGCAGGATAGTGGGTGCACATGAAGCCTCCATTTTTCACCTTTCAGTCAACATACGTTTTAGGACTACAAAAGGATTAACTGTATTTGTGGTGTCAAAACAGTAGAATATGAGTGTTAAAGCCTTGAACAGGATGGAGCAGCAATCTTATCTGTGACCGTGTACAACCCGATGTCGGTGTTTTCTGTTTTCGCCAACATACCATCTTTTTTTCTTTTTTGTCCTGATAATTTTTTTGATTGTTCCTTGTTTTACTTAATTAAAAGTCACAAGAAAGCACTTAAAGAAGCTGATGCGTTATTAGTTGTCACCAAGATCAAAAGGCCTGCATATGAAGCATAAAACAAGTTATCTAATCAGCAAATTTGGTCTTCAACAAAATTTGCAGCAATAGTTGCTAGCATAAGATAATAAAGTCTTCATCAGCAACCTTTACAAACATTTTCTGGGTTTTATGAGGAGGCTTTAGAGGCCTCTGTCTAAAAAAAGGATTTTAGAGACTTGTTATGCAACACTCTGGGTACTTTACTGAACTAACCAGGTACTTTTAGGGAAATTATTGCTCACTCCTTCAGAACTCACTAGGTAAATTCAGAGGTTACTGGAAACTGCCTGTCAATTTCCAGAAGAGTGCCTGGTACGTTTAGGGGAAAGTAATCAAAACACATTGGCCGAGTAAGGTTGGTAGCCAGTAAGGTTGTTAAAGTAACCTTTAAGTTTCCAGAAACTACTCTCCAAGTACCTGTTAAATTTCCCTAAGAGAGTTTCTGCTAGGTTATGGGAAAGTAGCCAGAATGTTCCAAAGAGTAAGCTCTAATTTTAATGAAAGTTCAGGTTTTATTATAGTAGTTTACCACAGTGTTTGTACATTTAGAAAAATTTACCACAATACAAAACAAACTGAGAGAATACACCAAACTAGACCTTGAAATAGTTTTTTTTTTTTATTATCTGATTGGCCATGTCTTAGAAAAATCAGAGAGCTCATACCTTGAACCATTAAAAAAAAATATATATATATCATTCATGCTACATCAAAGTATCTGTGTTCCTTTCTGGTCTAGTTTATCAAAATGGGAAAAGCAACTTGAGATACAGGACAGCTCTTAACACTGTCATCATAATGAAGCCTCTGCTCTTAGTCACTACTTCTGGAATCCAGTACAAAAAAAAAAAAAAAAACACTTTCGCTTTTCCTTCAAGAGTAGTGTCTTTAAGTAACACTTCATTATTTATTCACACTTCAAAGCCTTCCAAAGAAAAAGCCTTCTCATATCAGATAAAATTAAATCCTTTCTTGTGTGTGTATGTGGCAACGCTATCAACTTTCATGGGTTATTTCTTTTTCTTTAAATTATATTTAGTTTTTTTTTTTTCTTTGGTGAGACACAATTGCCTGCAGGCGAGTCAGCAATGCAGATTATCTGGTGTATAATGTGGAGCAAAGCACTTTTGGGCATCTAGTAAATGGATTCCACAAAACTATAATAAGAAGAGAAAAATATTGTCATTCTAATGTTTTTCTTGGTTTAACAAAAATGTATTAGGCACCTATAATTAGACGCATAATTGTAATTCCTTCGTTTTCTGTTGCTTTCAAAACTGCTAACTCTATCAACTGATCTGCAGTACACTTTACATATCCTTGTGCTTAGAATATGAACTGGAAATTGACCTAAAAGAAATCGGCATCAACGAGTCAAAACAACTCTAAAAACGTTGAACTCCAGATTGGCCACGTTCAAAACCTTCCACAGCAGCTTCACTGTGGTTGGTTGTGCTGTAATAACGGGTTTCTGTCTCTTGTCAGAAGCGAGATATCTTATGAGTGACTAAGCTTGTTGATGTTGGAGAGCTGCCTCCACTAATAGGTTTTTAAGCCCTACAACAAGGCTAAACAGGCTCAGTGAGTCATTGATTACAGAACGCGGAGCACTCCATCAAGTTGATTACATTATGCAAGACCTTTCTCAGATTTGTTTCCCCTCTCTAAACATTTTTTTTGTGTGCTTTTTCTTCTTCAGGGATCTGATGCCAAAAACCCTGGAGGGCCAGATCACCATGGAGAAAACGCCCAGCTACTTTGTGACCAGAGAGGCCCCCGCGAGGATATCGGCCATGTCCAGGGACACCAAACTGATCGTGGTAGTGAGGGACCCCGTCACCAGAGCCATCTCCGACTACACGCAGACTCTGTCTAAGAAGCCCGATATTCCCTCTTTTGAGAGTCTCACCTTCAAAAACAGGACTACGGGGCTCATTGACACCTCTTGGAGCGCCATCCAGATCGGCATCTACGCCAAACACCTGGACAACTGGCTGCAGTACTTCCCCATGGACCAGATCCTCTTTGTGAGCGGCGAGCGTCTGATCAGCGACCCGGCCGGAGAGCTGGGCCGCGTGCAGGACTTCCTGGGCCTCAAGAGGATCATCACAGACAAACACTTTTACTTCAACCAGACCAAGGGATTCCCATGCCTCAAGAAGGCAGAGGGCAGCAGTAAGCCCCACTGCCTGGGAAAAACCAAAGGGAGAACCCATCCGAACATTGATCCCGAGGTGGTGCAGAGGCTACGGGACTTCTACAGGCCCTTCAACATGAAGTTCTACCAGATGACAGGACATAACTTTGGTTGGGATTGAAGTCAAAAAAGACATTTTTTTTTGTTAATTTTCTTATAAGAGTTTTTTTTTTCTATGTAATTCATTGGCAAAAAAAAGGTGGAGATATTGCTATATATATGTAAAATGTACAGAAATCTATTTTATAATAATTTATTTTTATTTCTAAGCAATTAATTCACTAAGCTGCCTAACCAGATTTGTACATAACATCTGACCCATGTGTTTTAACATTCCTCATCTTAGGTTGGATTTCTCTGGCTCCCCACCTGTAGTCCTGTAAATTCCTGGTGCTGCACAACGCAGACGATCAGCAAAGACTGTAGTCGAAACTGTTTTAGAATAACTACTAAGGTAGAGATGCATCCATCAGTCGGCAGAGGTCAGAATTGCCCGATCGATTCCCTTGATCATCTCTAATCTGCGATCGGCAGGTCAAATACTGAATTTGATTTCTTTTCCCCTTATTAATTAAATGCATCATCGCTAAGAATTCCCTCTTTTAAAACCCAAAATGCACAAGCAGACTGTGTATTTTGATGCAGATTTTTTTTTTTGTTTTGTTGCCGTTTAAAGATAAAGATTGGAGATACATGGTTTTATGCATGAAATGGGAACATTTTATAATCCCTTTATTTTCTTTTTGTTGGATTCAAAACTGCTACCTCTGTTTTATAACTTTTATGCGTCACAACCCCTTTGAAGAAAAAATCAAGATCGGCACGTCAGATTTCAGTAAATATCAGTATCGGCTTAGAAAAGCGCGATCGGTGCATCTCTATGTAAAAAAAGCGCCATATTACGGGTACAGAGTGCTCACAGACGTGGAGAGCACCTATTTATGTGCATTCTTAGTTATAGTTGTTGTATAACTTCATCCTGTCACAATGTGCTTCAGTTCATTCATACAATCCGGTTTTCAGGTTCCTTGCATAGGCCTGAGCAGCAGAACTCGTCCTTTTCCACCCGGTAACTGGTTGATCAATAGACCTAATTGATACTCATTGTGTCACTCACGCTTAAAGTATACAGCTGCCCTTTTATTTTCAGTACTCCTGCTGTCTGCTCTAATGAGTGACCCATCCATCAAACAGTAAATCCCATTTCAGACCACGTAAGGCTCCATGTTAACATTATGCTAATCGGGTAAAGGTAGCCGGCAGATCGATTGGGCCTCCCCGTTCACTGCTCCGCTGGCTCAGAGCCAAGCTCCTGCCCTATCTGCTCAGAGCAAAGGTCACGCAAAGTCTCAATCAAATTTCCTTGATTTGTTGAGGAGAGGGAGGCGGGTCAGAGGGAGTGCGTGCCTTTCTTTTCACTGTGAAATGGAAAACCTTTGCAGGTGGCCGGAGATGCATATCTGCGAGAGCTCTAGCATACAGATAGGAGAGATGAGAAACACAAACGCCTCGCTTAAATGCCACTTGTTCCAACAGAAGAAGTCCATGTGGCGTGGTTTTTGGTCGCAGACTAACCAGTTCAAAGGAATAAAAGATTTGTTTTGTTGTTGTGAAGCACTCATGCCCCAACACGAAGAGTCGTGCAGAGTTTCCGTGTCCAACCTGTGGTGTCATCACAAAATCCCATTTTCATTCATTCATTCATTCATTCATTCATGGCTTACATCTTCTTGCAGAAGTATTCATACCAGCTTTTTTTTTTCTTAAGTTTTCACATTGCAACCCCAAACTTTTATGTGTTTTTTTTATGTGACAGACCAACACAAAGTAGTGGACAATTGTAACTTTCAAAGAAAGATGTGTGATTTTCAAAAGTTTTACAGGTGAAAGTTTGTGAAGTGTGACGTGAATTTGTGCTCACTCCCTTCTGAGTCAAAAACGTGCAAAAATCTTTTGATACACATCAAGAGAATGACTTTTACCCACTTCTCATAGCAAAATAACTAAAGTTGCCACCATCATGTTTCAATGTGGGTATAGTGTGTTCAGTTATGTGCATTGTTTTATCTCAGCTTCATATAGCCGTTAGCTCGGATACACACGGCACACTTTTCAGATATCTGTAAAATCAATTTTTAAAGTTATTTTTCAATCATTTAGCAATCATTTACTACTGTTTTAGTCTCACACATTAGAAAGTGACGCTAATTATTTTAATGTAACCCAATGTTTCAAAGTTCAAAGGGTATAAATACTTTTGCCAGGCACTAAATATACTTTATGCCTTATCCATATGTTATATGTTCACCTTTCACCAACTCATCTCAAATCTCAACTTGTTGCCAAAAAAAACTTTTAAGTTGCTGTCCCGTTTTATACAATTTACTCTCTGCTTTTTTTTTTTTTATCTCCCTTTAGTTTGAGTTTTTGTCTTTCTACTTGAATTATTGATATGCAAGATTGTGAGGATGTAAAGTTACCAGTCTTTGACATTCTGCAGCGGGGGGAATGCTACCATAAAGGCACAGAGTGGCATTTATGTGACCTACTGTGCAAAACTATGCTATGCACGCCTGGTGTAGTAGTCGTTTTTGTCAATGCAGGAATTATAGGAAGGGGTTGTCGGCATCCGGAGAGGGTTTTATGTGTTTACATGGAGCTCAGGCTGAATGTACACAAGCTATACTCACATTAACTTTAAAGGTAATATTGCCACTCCACCGCCCAGTTTATCCAGTTTCTTTTTTTTTTTTTTTTTTACGTTTTGTGCCTCTCTAACCAATACAATTAGCCTGTTTCATTTATTTAAGAAAATGGTCACTAAACTGGTTACTTCCCCTTTTTTTCAGTTGAAACTAGCTGTCTCCACCCAACAGCTGTTAGCAGGGGGAATTTTCTTTTTCTTGTACTTTCTTTTGTGTTCACTCTGAGTAATGATACTCCAAGTGAGAATTAGTCTCCATCAACCCTTCGCTAGTGCAAAGTTTGAGCATAATTATTGATGACTTCTCCTATCAAACCGTCCTGTTCTGGAAGGAAAAGCCAGATATTTTCCTTAAGACTTAAAGGTGTACTGCAGTTAACTCTGGAGGATCAAACCAATGCAGTCATAGGTGACCTCTGGCTTTCTGCGTTGTTTATGGTTGAGTTTTATTCAACCTGTTCTAAGATCTAAAACTGTTAAAAATGTTTCTTATCTGCATATGATATGATTTAGACTAGCAGATCTGTATGTACAAAAAAAGGAAAAAGACATGAAATTCAAGTATTTTGTTGTATGTACATCAAAGGAATTAATTTTACACAACAAAAAAGCAAAAATGGAACAGATGTTTCTAGATGAATCAATAATGAACATTCATAATATTTCTTTTTATGAAGAAATAAAGTATATATTTTACCAAACTATCATCGAAGTGACTTTTCTTTCCTTCATTTTCCTACAAAATGCAAATATAAGTTGAGTGCTGAGTTTTAGCACAGCTTTACCAGAGGTGTCAGTAAATGTGAAAGGTGCTGTTGACGCCAACTATCTCTGAAATTGAAACCGACAATTCTTTGAAAACGTCTAAAAATTTCCCCAAAAAATAAGGGGCACATCAGCAGAATTGGGGTTTTTACCTATGAGAGCCCAAAGTGACAGAAGCACAATGAATAGTAATGCTCTGGAAAAATCACACTCCGGTTAGTTGAGACCGACATTGAACTGCTGGGCTTGCATGCAACACACTATAATTGGTTGAAAGCCAACACTGCACATCACTATGAACATTCCATACAAATACTCTAAACATGGAGCCAGATGCCGCAGCTGCTATGAGGTTCATGTCCAAGAACGTTTGTTTTTGCTTATACAAAGCAAGTCCTTTGTTCTTGTAATCAGACACACGCACACACACACACACACACACACATATATATATATATATATATATATATATATATATATATATATAAGCACTTTCATATCAGCAATAACAGCTCGCTGTGTTTTTACAGACTTCTTTTGCATTCTGCCCCTAAGGAGCTCCGTGCCAGAAGGCCACACCTGGGCATCACCTGTTGACTATTTTCCAGACAGTGGAATAACTTGCATCAAATTCCTTTGGGACCTATTTAAATTTACTCATAAGCTGCAACCACCGTCTCTCCAAATGTCTCAGACAGCTCTTTTGATCTTACCATGGTGTTTACTCTTTCAGCACTTGGGAGGCTTATGAAGCTAAATGTCTGAGGTTTGAACAGGGCAAACCTCCTTCAAAATGCTAACTAATGATATTCTAACTATGTGCATCGTGACTTAATGCTTAAATTCTGAATCTGCACAGGGTGTTTGTTGCTAGCTAAATGTGTCACCATGAGTTAACAGGCAGACTTATGTTACTTAGTGGTACATTGTCCCTTAAAAGACACAACTAATAAATAAATAACAAATATGACCTAATTTGAATGCCACTGTGCAATTTTAGATATGTTAAAAGTGGGTAACCTGATTTATTACAAAGTAAAAAATAATAATAATAAAAGTAATATTAAAACTGACATTAAAAAATACAGTGACAATAATGGGCTGCATAATTAAAGGATGTATATTTTCTTTTTTTTTTTTATCAGGGATGGAGGTGAATCCATAAGTAGTTTATACACTTAATTTCAATCGCATGCGCAGTAAAATTTCAATCGCATACGTAGAACTCCCCTCTGCGCATGCGATTGAAATTTCTGCATGAGAAAAATATCGTCACAATGTCCACCGCACAGGCCACAAAGCAGCTTCAAGTTGTTTCTTCAGACCGCGACGCTTTCATTGACCATATTCATAAAGGTAGGATGATTTCAGATTTTGCTTTTTGTTGTACGACGACAAAATAATATCTGTCAAACACGAAATATTTTTCTCCCAACAATCATACCATTTCGATTAATGAGGGTTCAGTGTCCTAATTAGTGTTATTGGCAACACCTGTTTTACCGGCGTACGTCGTAGGTAAATACGCCGGTAAAACAGGTCAGACACTATAGTTCTCTATCGTGACTGAAACTGACAAAAAAAAAAGAAAAAAGCTTATTTATTTTTTTTACAACCTCGGCTTTCCTTCGTGTTTATAACTGTGCTTACCAGTAGTATATTCATATATCAAAAACTAATGGTTTTATTTACACAGCATTACTTCAAAACCTATGCTCTGATGCAGTTTAATACATTTAAGCTGCATCAAAGTGTCTGGTGCATCTATTGTTAATATAATCAAATGGTGAATTTATGTCAGTGCTGCACTTACAAGTCAGTGATGTTTTATACTTGATATTTGTTTACATGTTTCTAAAAAAATCAGCTTATTTAATATTTTCTTTCAGTGTTTCTCGCGCAATTAAAATATGACATAAAGATTCTTGAGAAAATATGTAAGTAATAGGGCATTTAAATGATGCTCAACTGGCACGAAGTGGTCAAAAGGGTTTAAAAAAAAAAGAAGTACCCCCTACATCATTCTGCCTCCACCACCAGTCAAACTGCAGATACAAAGCAGAAGCAGGCAATGTTTTTCCAATCTGTTATTCTGTTTTCTCAGCTCCCAGCAGTAGCAACTGGTGTGGTCATTCGCATTTTCATCTGAATGACTGCTGCTTTCTGGCTTTCGCTCATGCAGGGCCGGCCTCTGTTAAATACTCAGGACAGCCCGCGCCAAGAAACTTTCCACATTAAAATTCACTAAAACGTCCTTCTTCCTATGATGCATGATATAAACTGAAGCAATTCATCACCACTTATAGATGCTAAGATGCATTTCACTCCTGCCCTGTCCCAAAAAGCAATTGAAGAGGTGTACCTTACAAAGTGTCTGGTGCATCTATTGTTAACACTGCATTTCTTGCTGTTAGATATTTCATTCAGCAGCTCCTTTGTGTATTCTTTTTGTATTGTATTGTTTGCTATCAAAGTCAAATCTTTTGTATTAAGAATACTAAATATATATTTTTTTATTATCTATGCAACAAAAACTAAATTGCATTACCTTTTAATTTTATTCGTATCTGAAGCTGGACGAGGTCCATGAGCATCAGTTCATGGATGTCAAAGTTATTTAATTAAAAAAAAATGCTTTAAACTAAGACATTTTAACACAGATTTATGTCTTGATATTTAAAATCATGACTACTCGTAAAGCTGTAAAAATGCTCCCTAAACTTGCTTTGTTTGATGGAATAAATTATTTGGGCTAACATTTTGCCTGGCTTCCAAAAAGTTTTGGCAAAATGGTTTTGTTTTCCTGTTTACTGTTGAGTGTGGCAGTGTGGTCATGGAAGTGGGGGGTCTGTGTGGCTGACCTTGACCCAGAGCTGTGTGGGAGGTTTGGGCAGCTAGTAGTTGTGGGTCTGCCTGGATGTCGGAAGTGTACATGTCTGGTTCCTTACACCTTCGTTCCCTGTAAAAGCTACCAGTGTTTTTTATTTATTTATTTTTTATGGCTCATAATGAAATACCATGGCTGTTTGTTGATGGGGCTCTGAAACACCTTAGTGTATTAACAGGTCTTTCATTCACAGTATCAGAGGTGATGCTGTTACAAACCTGCTCGCAAACAGAGATGTTAGTTTTGAATGTTCAGCAGTCTTCTTGGATCAAGCATAATTCAATGGATAAAATATCATTTCAAAGCCTTATCGGCTCAGATCAGTTTCAAACAGAGCTCGATCCTATGTGACAATATAACTGTTCCGTTTGTACCAGATATTTCTTGTAATTCCTGACCGAGGCTGGACAAGAAAAGGTTCACAGTGAGGTTCTTGGGTGAAAAGTCCTGCTGGACAAATTAAATAGAGACCCAGCTAGCATTTCCCTAAAAAAACATGATTCCCCCCCAATAAAAATATTCTGTGGATAAACATTTCCAAAAGTGGAATTTTTTTGGAAACTATATGTACTGTCACATCTGACATAAAACTAATGCAGCATTTCAGAAAAGAAAAAAAAAAAAAAAAAGAAAAAAACAAACCCGCAGTGTAATGATTCAAGTACGAATTGAACCCAAAACCCAGACCACAACCCAAGGAACAGCTGAAAGATCTTTATTTATATTTCGGTAAATGTGTTAGGTGATCGGCTTCCTGATCAGACTCTACAGAGCAAACAGAGTAGTGAGTGACGGGAATGAAAAGTAATTTTGCCAAGACAAGAATTAGTGGATTAACCATCAGAGGTGGTTTTAGAGGAACTCATCCATGGAGAATTGGACCAAAGTGAATTTCTATTCCTGGAACTGTAGCTGTAGAGGAAAATAAGTTGTCTGTTTATTGGGGATTGGTTCACAATCATGACTGTATGGAGGAGTTAACTCTATATGCTGCAAACTGAATCACTTTTCAGGGTCTAGTTCTCAGAGGTTGTACAGCAGAGCACACTACAAGTCCACCTCTGAATGGGATAAAAAAACAAAACAAAAAAAAACAAAACAAAAACAAACAAAAGCCTGAATGAAGCTTTTGAAATGGCTCGGTCAATATAATACAAATCAGACTGAGGTACTTTGGTGGGATCTAAAATAAGCATTTATGCTCAACTGTCCAGTGTGGATAATGTCCATCAATTCTGCAAGAGTGGTTCAAACTTCCGCTGCTGCATTACAAAGACAAATTGCCTGATAGTACAAATGATGGTAACTGCTCCTCCCTAGAGTGGTAAGTAGGTTTAGGTTACATTTTCTCTTAGGGCCACGTTGGTATGGTGAGCTTTTTCTTCCTTAAATAAATTATCATTTGTATACTTTTTATTTTTTATTCTGAAACTTGCAAGTGTGACAAAAAAAAACAAAAAAAAAAAAACAGAAGAAATCAGTAAATTATGTTCCACAGTCCTGTATTTCCACTTTTCAAAGAAGTTCTGATAGGAAAATTGCATGATATTGAGTGATTGGCATGTGACTAATAGCTTTACCCTCATTAGCAGCTTTTTAAAAAAATATTTTTCGGGGTGATCTAGATTTTTAAAGTTGCCTTTAAATCATTGTTTTCTTTTTGAGGTCTCAGGGGTAAAGATGCTCTACATCTGTCTGCTGGATTGGGCTGATTGTGTGTTCCTGCGAGACTGCCTAACACAAACCCAACAAAGGACCCAGCAGCAGCAGCACACTTCTGAAAACGTAACTTATTTAAATATGGAGGAGTTAAAATGTTGAACCCTATCAAATAATGAAACTAAAATGAAACATACAAAGTTTTAAATTTACTGCAGCAGACTTGGATGGAAAAAAATATATATATTGTTAGATGTAGCTGGATCTGGCCCAAATTGCATTTACTGAATATACTACAAAGGCATGTTCCCACTCTCCAAGCCCCAAGGATGATATGGTCTGTAATGAGTGGAACATGGTAGAAATCCCCCTGCATGCATGCTGTTTTCGGTAAATAAATAGGTGGGTAAAATTGAGTTTCTCATCAGTCAGACTTTACCCAAAGGGAATAACAAAGCAGAGACGGTTTTCAGGGAATTTCCACTTTATTTTTCGGCCTTCGTCATTCTCATATTTTATTATGAAACTTAATTTTATGCACACTGGACCAAAAACAAGCGGACATTACATGATTTTAATCCTGTTAGGATGCCAATGTCTGAACTGAAATACAGTTAGTCCCTGTCTAAAACAAACAAAAAAAAAAACAAACTCATCGCTGTGTGCCTGGTAAACTGCATGCTACGTTTCTGAACAACTTAACCTCCATTGAAAAGAAAGAAATTAAACATCATTCTGTATTACAGAACAGCTTGTGACAGTGCAAACAGAGCCATTAGGGGATATTACAGAATAGATATTGAAGCCCAACCGTTTTCTCGAATCAAAGACAGGTTCTGACATGCTGTGCTTCACAGTTGATTGCCTAATGTGAACAATTCAGGAACGTCATAATTGCTCAGCTGGAGTACTGACAGACATGCCGGAGAAGAACGCAAACAGGATGTGGCTGGAGCGATGAAAGCGTTTTTAAACAAAAAAAAAAAAAAACGGCCCAACCCCGGCACGTTGGAGGGACGCGCGTTCTCCTGGAGCGTATCCAGCTTGTTCCCTGAATCAAAGCCACTTGAATTAACTCCTGACTAACCTGATTAACCTGTTCATGGATCCGACAGATGCAGATGCAGAAATGATTTTCTGGGCTTGCAGCCAAGCGTGCCATCTTGAATGAAATGGTTTGTGTAATTAACAGAGAGGCTCGGCAGAATGACAGGGGGTAATTGTTGCGCCTGCAGATGATGTCTTATTGTCATTGAGAGTGCCTCCCGGGCTGTTGAGTACAGGCGGCTGCTGCTTTGGGGTTTGGGATGGGAAGAGACACCTGGCAGCTTTACACGCAAACCCCCTGTTGACTCTCCTCATTCTCTGCCCCCCTCCCTTCCCCGATCCAAACCCCAGCCCTTCCCATCCCTCGACATAACACCTCCGGTGAATTTTGCCGTGTGGTGTGTTTGATCACATTACCTTCAAGATGCTGCAAAGCAGTTGCACAATATCCTTGTCACATTGACTGGAAACATGACGGCGAAGGCTGCAAGGCAAGCATTAAAATTTAACCTGATCTCCACATGGATGAGCCGCAGAAAATGCAAACTCTGTGCATGTCGCCACACACCTCATGCTGTCCATGAGTATCTTTCGGAAATTTAAAAGGAGCAAGTCACTTCTGATTTGTTTTGTTTTCACAAAGTCTCTGAGACTTTCCTTATCAAGAAAGGACTTGCTTATCTTTTCTTGATAAGGAAGTTTCTCCTGGGCTTCCTTATCAGTAAACCATGAAGTCAGAGTTGACCCTGGAACCTAATTGTCAATATGCTTTTTGTGTCAGAAAGTGTGAGTTATAAAGGGGCAAGGACAGGCATTACTCATATTTTCTGCATGCACCGAGGGCTGTTCACCTAAAACATTCTGGTAGTTGTGTCTGTTTGGAAAAAACAAACAGATGCATTAACAAATTAAGCAAAGGAAGGAATCCTTTAAGTCCTCTGTGATCAAGAGCTGTTATAAACCTAGCATCCAACAACATTTGATGCACTTGTGTGGAGCTGATTTTAAAATAAAGCTTGAAGACTTGTGAATTGATGTCAAAATGGGGATAATTTATCAATTTTCTGACAGGATTAAAAACTACTGCCTCTAACACGGGATTTGCAGCTCATATTTTTATTTTGTGTCAATTTGCTTAGGTAATATCAGAAGTAAACAGGACTACGGCATTGATAAACAAAACCTGATTTATGCATCTCTCTCTCCCTTGAAGCGGTGCAATATTAGAAAATCACGTAATGGCATTATTTAAAAAAAAAGATGTTAGCAAAAACAATAAAATATATTTTCCTTATCACTCTATGTCTCATCTGTGTTTCCAACACTCTCTGACACCTTTAGCATTTTGGAAACATCTGTATAAGTTGTGTTATATAAGTTATACTCCAATAAGCTATTTAACATGCAGGTAATCTCAGGAGACTTGGATTAAATGACCCAACTATTATTGCATTTCAAACAAGCCTTAATATGGATAAGAACGCTAAGGCTCTTAATGTTGCACACACTGATGTTATGATTATAAATTTGTGACGCATTGCGCAGCCTTACTTTTTTATGCGTTCCCTCCCTGGGGTTTCCTAGTTATTGTAACTCCAGTCCTGCAGAAACTACATAGACCTATTTTAAAGTAAACAGCAGTGATGGGTAAATCTACAGATGCATTTCCCAAACTGTCAGACGGGAAGGAAGGAAAACATAAAAAGGAGACTTCACACTTCAGAAAGGGCTGTATGGTCTCAGTGGAATTCCCCACAATAAACAAAACCAGAGCAGTGATCTAAAAAAGGACCCACTGTTTCACCATGAACACATTTGAATGAGTGTTTTTGATTACAGGATACCGAGCCTCCAGATTTAGGTTTGACAGTAATGCATATGTTATTTGCAGTATTGGGTCATATTTAGTTAGTTACTTGGGTAACTTTAAAAAAACAACAAAAAAAAAACATTTATTTGTAGGAGTAGTTTTACTACACCATGCCGTTTACTTTTACCTGAGTAATATTACTGTGAAGTATCGCTAATCTAATTTAAGTACAATTTCTGGCTAATCTACCCATGATGGATAACTCCACTGAATGAAGAAAAAAACATTTAACCAATAAAGCACCAATCACAAACACACAACCTTACTGTTTGAGTGAGACTTTTTTTGTTTAATTTTTTTTACAAAACCTATTTTTTTTTTTGTATGCTGAGCCTACTGTGCCATTTGGAAGTCAAGTTAGTCGGATAAATTATAACTAAAAGTACCCTTTTCTATGTTTTATTTTCATAAGTTTTAGTTTAAAAAAATCTTTTAGATTATTTTCTCCTGTCTGAATTTGTTGTTTTGAAAACATCATTTATTAGCGTTTTGTCTTTAGACTACCACAATTAGCATTTTTGCCTGACATTTTTAAATAATAAATCAGATGTTATGATCAGTTAATCAGCTCCTGTGCAACGTTTTTGCATGGCCACTTTGTACTTTTACTCGTGCAAAACGTATGTCTCTCAAGAAACTTACTTTTTTACTTAAGTAAAATTTTTGGATACTCTACCCACTTGTGGCTATGTGCCAGAACCAACCTCCTTCCCCTCAATATGTCTAAAACATGCTCCCCTTTGCTTCTCTCCCCTAGTCTTCCTCCCCATTCTGCCCCATCCACAGATGAGACAGAAAGTAGGACATGCTCAGACAGGCTGCACCCTTAAGATGTTGCAGTGAGAGGAAACGAGGGGAGTGTGTCCTACACCACAGGTATGAAAACAGATTAGCTCCCTCACAGTCGCTGTATTACAGTAGAGCTGTACAGTTTTACAGTATGGTAATAAACTAAAAAAAAAATAATTGCTATGATTTTGCAAGGCAGGAAAAATACACTTGATATAATTACTGTGAATCAATATTGAGATTGAAGAACGGACCGGTAGACTGCATCCATGTTACATCATGCGCTCTCTCCTCCTGAAAGCTGACTAATCATTGTTTGGTGTCTGTGCGATTTCAAGGCAGGACCCGTGACAGAAATACCATGTGGAATACATGTGTAAAGCCTCCCTTCTCATCACATGAAGCGTTCAGTAGCTCTGTAGATGTCTCTGTAATGTGCCTTAGACACGACTGTCTGATAGAAAGGAAGGGGAAGCATGCAAGAGCAAAGGTAGAGCTGTAATCTGGTGGACTGCACTGATTAAAGGGGAAGAATAAAATAAGTGTATTGATGCATATCCAAGGGCTGCTTTAATTTTTTTTTATTTGACCTTTATCTATACAGGTCATTTAAGCCCCATCAGTGCACACATATCATGCTGAATGAGATAACTTGACCTGTAAAGGTATTAATTGTTGCAGAAGCGTAACGACTATCATACATTAAACTTCAGCTCTCTGTTGTTGCGTCCTGAATAAACATCCAACATACTTTAAGAGACATGTTGGCTGTTTTCTCTTTAATAGCTTCTTTAAGGGTTTATATTTGCTTTGATTTTATATTTGAACACTTCACTGATGCTGATAATACCCAACTTTAAGCCTTTTTCCCCTCTGTAATTATCCACACTGAAGAGTGTTATTATTGGAATCTGGTAGATATTGGCTATGATTGGATTTTTTTTTTCCTGTTTCTCAAAAAAAAAAAAAAGAAAAAAAAAAAGAATGGTAACCATCTGATTTCTCATTCTTAACTCAAACTGCAGTTGATTGTGTATATTTCCGTTTTTACTAAAGACACTCATAAATGATTGCACATGCATTTATTTTTCTTCAAAATGTCCTGGCAGCTGTGCTTGCATCGTGATCTTCATGCTCAAGTCTTCCAAGTGATTTTATTTTATTTTTTTCCTACTTTTTCTGTTGACATCGATAGTTGCCGTGACACCAGCCTGACTTCATATTTTTTTTCCCTTTGCAAGGTGACCAGGGAACAATATCGCCTCACTCTGCTAATGATAGGCTTAACCTGATATTCTTGCCCTATCCACTGTCAACCCTGCTGTGTAATTCATAGGCCAATTGTGTAGCACTTTTTTCATTAATATTAAGTAGCATTCCCTGGCCACTTTGCCTGAAGAAAAAAAATTACATGTCCTGCCGTATGTTAGTGAAGCATGAGATGTTACATGTGCTGACTTGATTGTCGGACTTTAACTCAAACATTAGTTTTCTAGGGGAGATGAATATGTCTTGGGAAACATTTGTTGCTGCTTTTAAATCTAATTGTTTCTTTGGCTAGAAAGTGAGAAGAAAATGTCAATGTAGAGAATTTTGTCTGGAAATGTTTTCAAGTCAACTGGGATTTTACTTGACACAAAGTTTGTTTGTGTTTTAAAAGACAAGATGATTGCAGAGTCCCATACTGTCTTCAGTATCTACAAATTTAATATCTCAAAATAAAAGGAAGAAACTTAGCTGAATTACATCCAGCCTTCCTGTTATCTCCTGACAGTCTGTCTCTCTCTTGCCCTATTGCAGTCTCAATGAACCATATTTAAATAACTGCATTTTCTCTGACTTTATTTTTCTTCTGTATTATGAATCATATATAAATAGCAGACGGTGTGTAGTTGTTGCTTGTTTTACTGTCATTTAGTACATCTCACACAAATAACGCAAGTCAAATAAACATTCTGGTTGACAGCAATTTTCTGGTTGTGTGTCAACTTCACTTGCATCTTTATTATCAAAGCTGCTGTTTGAAAACACCTCAGGGAGCCCGAGGATTAGATGAGACAAATTCATTAATTAGGAAACTCTCAACATACTCTCTTAGAGGAGAGAAAAAGAAATGAAATGGGACAGCATATTAATTATTCAAACTCGTCACATTTACCAGCATTAACTCATGTGACGGGGGCTGACAAGGTTGTGCTGATTAGCTATTTACCTGCTGGACCTGCCTTTAAATTTGACTAAAAAAAAAAAAAAAACAATTACACACCCCTACAAAACAAAACAAGAGACAAGCAAACAGACTGGAATCCAGGAACAGTTCTGTTTTAAACTTCTGCAATAAGAGCATGTCGGTTGTCTTTATACGCATCGGATGTCATGTGAATATTTGTTTGCCTGAACACATCACTTGTGAGTGCCACTTTCAATGTGTTGATGGAAGACATGAGAGGGTGCACTGAAGCAGCAGACAGTGCTGTTTGTGTGGCTGGAGTTTGATTACTGCTCCCTCCCCCCCGCTGAGACACTTAAATGCGGTCAGACACATACCGGCTGATGGCCATCAATAATGCACACGATGGAGGATCCAGCAACCTGCGTTAACAAGGAACTCTGCTGTGTCCCTGCTGGAAGATTCCTCAGATTGATGGCTTCAATTTTCTTTCTGATGAGGCAAGGAGAGAAGAAAAAAATCAGACTAGTCTGTGTGGGAATATTGTAATGTGATCTAATGCTTGATTATTAACATTGGGTGGAAAATTAGTCTTTGTAATGGTTAAAGCATTCACTAACAAATGAGGCAATATCTAACAGTCTATCAGCAGGGGGTCCTCTGCCAGCTGTTGGCATAATAATGTGTTGAAGAGAAAATATACTCAGGATGCCAGGGATAAAGGAAGTCGACTTGGAGAAAATCCCCTAAAATGCTGAGCTTCTGCACATTGTATCTAATAGTTACCATTCTGTCATCAGCCATTAAAGCGTGTCCACATTCACACAAAAATGAAATCACTTAAAAGGAGTTTTTAAAAGTCCAAACTGAGAATGTTTGGGAATTTGGGCCTATTCATTTTTTTAAAGAAATGTATTATCGTTGACAAAACTAGCTGTTTCCATCTTACATGCGTGCCTTACATCAAAGAAAAATGGCAGCATTGCTGTGTGTGTGTGTGTGTGTGTGCAATTGTGGGCTCATCTGCGTGCGTGTGCAGTCTTGTGAGCACAGAGCTGCGTTTCTTCTTCGCTTAGTCGATGTCTCATTCAAACCTCAGTGGTAAGACTTTGTGCTCTACACTCAATAACTACCACATCAACCAGGAAACCATTGGCCAGCCACTTCCTTGTGTTGGTCCATCACCAGCAGCCCACTCACAGCCTCAGTAAGGCCTTGATGTAATGGACCAGAGCATTCCTGTATTGTGGAGTAGCCAAGGCGGTTTTCTGGAACAAAAGCGGTGGAAGCTCCATGCCTTCCCAGTGATTGCATAAAAATTTGAATGGAGCCTAGCTGAGGCTTTTTCTCTGCAGACTCGTGGACACAATGGCAGTTTGGGTTTCCAGGAAGCAAGATGGTCGGTTAGACAAATGAAAACATCTTCCGCATTGAAGCAATTTCTTCTGCATAATTTCCTCCATTCCCTTATTGACTATTACAGAAATTGCCTGCAACACAACAGCATTTCAACATCACTTACAGTTTTAGGGTCAATACATTAATGTAATGAATTTATTCATAGCTGTCTCCCAGTCTGGAGCTGGTGGGCATTCGCTTTAATAGTGCTGACATCTGTGTGTGGACATTGCCCTCCGAGCATCGTTTCTCACAAACGGGGGCCGGGGATTGTTTCTGTGTATGTGTGCGTGGGTGCGCGCGCGCGCGCGTGTGTGTGTGTGTGTGTTTGGTGTTTTTAGTGGTAATGATAAACACAGTCTTGGTGGAATATTTGACTTCATACCATAATACATGAGGTGCACAAGTCATCGAGCAGCCGCCCAGCCATTCTGAGTCGTACCTGTAGTGTGTTATTCACCATGTGACTTGAGATTCTCCACATGCCACCAACACTTACACATTTCATGCTCCATCAGACACGCACGTAATCTGATGGGGTCAGGTAAATTGAAACATGCAGTGGATTGTATCGGTATGTTTTTTTTTTTTTTTTGGTTTTTTTCCACATTTTCCATTCTTTTCTTATTTCCATTCATTAGGAAACAGGATGCAGTGTTTCTAAAAAAAAAAAAAAAAGATGCTTGCAGCCTGTATGTGAAGCATAGAGATAAAAAGCCATTTTTTCTCTGTACTATGAGTTCCCATTTTGATCAAAAGATGGGAGTTACTCATCGCTCATCTGACTGAAGCTATCCTCTCCACTTTAAACATTCATTTTCTTGTCTTCAGGGCAATGGCTTCCCTTGCACTTGTTCAAAGACAGAAAATCAAATGGGGTTTTGCATTTAATAGTAACTGAATCTCAGAGAATGGAATCATGTACATTTGACAGCTGAAGACATGGAGTAGAAGCAGAGTGGGTGGAAAAAAACTGCATTTTTTTTTTCATTTCTTGCAGGAGAAACATTTTCCAGAAGTATTGCATTCAGACGTGAAACCTGGCGAAAAGTTGAACTGTTAAAATACATTGGTGTGAAAAAGTGTTTGCCTCCTTTCCTGATATTGTATTTTCCTTGCATGTTTGTCACACTTAAGTGTGTCGGAATATGAAACCATTTTAAATATTAGTAAAAGCAAAATACAGTTTTTAAATTAAGGTGTTCATTTTTAGTGGAGAGAAAAAGTCCAGATCTTTATGGCTCTGCGTTTAAAAAATATATGTATTCATTGAGATACCAAAGAACTAGAAATGACTTGGTAAAACTTTGAGCACAGAGAGCCATTAAGCGACTGCCAAGGATGAGGAGAGTCAAAGTTAAACTTAATGAGGCAGCTGTCGGCCATTAACCCGATACTGCATACAGTCTTCGATTCATAGTGTTTACAGTTTCCAGACTGCTGGATCTGTTACTTTCTTTCTAATTTGTTACATAATTTCTTTAGATTTCCAGTTCAAGTTCCAAAATACTTTATTGATCCCAAAGGGAAATTAGATGTTGTAACTCATATGAATTCAAGATTCTTCATATTGCATCCTCTTAATTACCCTAGCCACTCACGCAAGACATGTTGTACCGGAAACGTATACAACTTGTTGACCATAAATATATTTATAATGTGTTGACATAAAATAAAACATGTTTTCTCATATGTTAATTTGCAGTACCAGAGTCTGGGTAGTTCACTTTATTAGCTTTTGCCTGTTTAAGTCCACAAAAAACAAACAAACACAAAAAAAAAACAGGTTCAAGCTACACAAAGTGTGGACAAACTCACTACACTCCGGTACTCTGAGCATTTCAACTTGTGTTAGTAATAAAATAAAACTTGATTGGAGGAAGTTGCTAAATCTACACTGGAGGAAAAATATAAACAATATATGCAGATGTGCCATAAAAATAAAAACCAGAAGTAAATGTCCAGGAGCAAACTAGCAAGGGCACTAAGGAGGTAGTCTGTAGGTTGCCACAGCTAAACTCGGCGTCCTTCTTTTTAAGTGCCAATAAAAGCTGGCAGGCTTGTTGGTGATATAATGGCTTTCAAGGAGATGCCCTGCAGAAGTGCAAAGAGGTGAAGAGTCTATAGAAATAGAAAACGTGTTGGTAAACTTTTATTTAGTTGTCGATAGGTGTTTGAGAGTAGAAATGAAATCTGCATTAAAAGAACGGAGAACATCAGTGGGGAACAGCGAAATGTTGATATGCATATTTTACAGCTGCTGCAGAGTGCAGGAGGTGCAAGGGTGTGTAAGTGGTGGGAAGACATGGTAGAGGTGCCTTTGATTTCTTTCCAGAGTGAAAAGT